ATACTTAGTAAGGCAAGGTTGGAAGGTGGAACTCTTTTAACCATTTTATTCTTTTTTGCAGATGGATCCTTTACTCCTTGCTTATATCAATGCATCTGGTCCCCAATCACTCATCGACGCAGAACTACTCGCCATCCTGCCTATCTTTGCCCCGTCTTACGTTCCTGTGAAAGTTTTAGACTGTCTCAACCCTGCCATTCCCCAATGCCATCAACTGCTTTTTCTGGTACAACCTCGTAACTCTCCTTCTCATCATAAAGTCAGCTCCCTTGCAATGAAAATCAGAACACCCCCTCCACCTACCATAACCCTTCCCCATCCTTCTAATCGTCAACCACCTCCTAATCAACCACCAACATTCCCATTTAATCTTCCTCCCCCACCGCAACAACTTCCCCCTATTTTTTCTCAAACTCCACCACCTCAATTACCCCATTCCTTCCCCAATCAAACTACTCCAATCTCCAACTGTCCTCAAACCATTCAAGCCTCCACTTCGACTCCTTCGTCCCAAACGGTCTCCATGGAACAGTTTGAGCAACTCAAAACTCAATTCCTCCAGCAGCAGCAAGAAGCGCAGGCAACAACCGAGACTTTCCTCAAGCAACTGGCAAAGAGGGAGAAAGAAAGTCAAGCTTCAAACGAATTTTATCACAAGTTAACCTCGGAACTCCAAGCTATTAAGCTACGCATCGAGGACAAGTCAACCTCTTCCTTTGAAAAACTTCAAGCCTGGTTCAGATTGTTTTCCGCGCCAGCCTGGCACTACCAAATCGAGACAGCCATCAGATTCTTCACTGTCAATCTCAACTATCATCACTATCCCTTCGGCAAAGCAATGTCAAGTGATTTCTCTTCCCGCCTCAACTCGGTTGCAAAAGACTGCATGGACCACCGAATAACTAGTGAAATGAAGGCAACCATCAACAAGGTAATCAGGGACGGTCTTGAGGAAGCAATGCCAATCATCCGATCAGAGTACAATTACTGCCTCAGCATCGCAAGAAGGGACGCGTCAAGGTAAGTTCCAGGGCTGTCGCCCACTTATTTTATCTTGCCCTGGATCGTCAATAGGTCCACGCCATTTGCATTCATGGGCTTATCATTCTCTATTCTTCTCTGCAGATCTTACAAGCACGATGAAGATTCCTCAAGCTACCGCAAGAAGGAAGACCACGTCAAGGTTGAAGATTACAAGAAATCATCATCAAAGAGGCAGTATGAAGACACTTTGGACAGGGGCTACGACTTTCATCGCATTTCAAAGCGTCCTCACATCGACTCAGACATCAAGCAACTTGACAACACTAAGCCACCGACTTCAGACCGCAAGGCCGACTGACAATCCACCCTTTCCAATACCTTCAGTACAACTCATCCTTTCCAACCTTAAAACCCCACCATCCACTCCTCACCTCCAACTTGCTCTCTTCGCCCTCCAGGAACCCTCTTCCTGGCTCCGCAACTCAGACAACTTTTTCGCCGCCTCAACCTCTCAGTCATTTTCAAACTGGTCAAAGCTGCTATCCACTTCTTCCGGACGATATTCTCATTCAGTTCTTCAATGGATCTGTCACGGTATTCGTCTCAATTTTGTTGGAACCAAGCATATTCCAGTCAGCAAAATAATTGAAGTTCACAGAATGTTAAAAAGTGTTTACCCAACAGCCCAGTTCAAGCGCATGCTTAATTATATTGAGCCTCCTCCCACCTCCATTCCCAATCATAACCTTTTACCTCATCATTCGGTCTTCATTACCTCGACTGTATCTCAACTTCTCTCCTCTAAGGTAATCGAACTCCCTCACTCACCAATTGTCATTGACCCAATTTTCGCCACCGAAAGTTCATCCAAAACTAGATTTATTTTAGACGTTAGATTCGTCAACCTCTTCATATCCTTCCCAGAATTCCACTACGGAACCATCAATAACTTGGTAGTTCCTCTTTTTGGCTCACTTCATCAAGATTACCTCTCTTGCTTCGATATAAAAAATGACTATTATCATATTCCTATTCACCCAACCCACCGACCTTACCTCGCTTTTAAATGGAATAACATTCACTATCAATTTACTATACTCTGTTTTGATGTTTCAGCAGCCTGTTGGATATTCATAACTGTCATGCAAGAAATAATGGCAAAAATGCGCCTCCGTCAGGTCTTAATCATTTCTTATATAGACGACTCAACACTCGCCAATTCCAATCTTCCACTTTTAATCTGACAAACCTTTAACTACGTAGCACTTCTGCATAACCTTGGTTTTTTCCTTAGCCTTCACAAATGCACTTTCCTCCCAACCCAGAAAATCAGGTTTTTAGGCTTCAACATCGACTCTCACCATAAACGTATAAGAGTGCCAGAAGATAAATCGGAAAAAATACTCAAACTTATTTCCACAATCTCCGACTCCGAACCCTCAAGCAGAACTTTGGCGAAACTTGCAGAAAAACTCATCTCTCTTACTAAAGTCTTTCTTCCTGCTCCTCTGTTCATTTCTTCCCTCTAGGATTCCATCTCACCATCCAACTGGGATTCACCCGTCCAAATATCAGACGATCTCGTCTCTGGTCTCCTTTGGTGGCTCCGCCATCTTCCTTACCTACCAGGTCGCCTTTGGACTATCAGAACAACAACTTGTTTGATTGAAACAAATGCTTCAGCAACTCAAATTGGAGCAATCATTTCTCCTGACTCTTCCTCTATATTTTCTCTAAACGAATGTTTACCTCAAACCCTCCTTACAACTTTTTCAACCCACAGAGAACTCTACGCCATTCTTAAAACATTTCTTTTTCTGGAAGCAAATCACCCCCATCTTCTTCTTTCCACTTCCATCAGACGTCTCTCAGACAGCCAATCAGCTGTAGCCCTGCTCCATCATCTTCGCTCAACAGATCCTATCTTCAACCCTTGGCTGCGAACAATCACTTCAATAGTTCTTCGCCATGACACACTCCTGTCACCAATCTAGATTCCTAGATCGCTTAATAATTTCGTCGACAACCTCTCCAAAACAAAGGACAATACTGATTGGGGAATCGCTACGCACGTCAGGCATGAGATTTTCTCAACAATAGGTGCACTTGCCATAGATATATTCGCCTCCGAGTATCATCACACTTCCCCAATTTTCATTTCAAAATCATGGACTTCTAAATCATTCGCAATTGATGCACTCTCTCTGGATTGGAACAATCCGCCATCCCATTCATACAGATGGATTTAACCACCTACCTCTCTTCTCCACCAAACCTTATCTCGAGCAATTTCTTCACCAGCAAATTACTTACTCATCTTCCCATCATCCAACAAAGCAAACTGGTTACCACGCATACTTTCTCTTAACATTTCGCTGAAAATTCACAATTTCAAAATCGGAATACTCCTGTATTCCCAACCCTAGAGTCCATCACTCCTGCCCCAACCCTTCCACTTTAGGTCTCACCGCCATCTTTTTCTCCACTTAACCCGACATTTTCAACTAAGCCTGTCACATCTCCACTTTCACTCACCCCTTTTTCCTCCAGACTCCTTTTCCAACCACGTCGCATTCCATAACCATATCTCATAAAGGTACCCACACTATTCCATGTTCCCTGTCGCATCATCTCCCCTAAACTCCACCCCTCCTCTATTCCTGCTCGCAATCCTCCAATTCGAAAGCTATGTCCACTCTCACCTTCATATACCCCCGCCTCCCCAAACCACTTCTCTATCCGTTTGTTGAAAGCCCCACCACCCAGAGCATTGTTTCCCCTCCCAGTTCGAAATAAGTAACCTTTTCGAATATCCACACCTATATTCTCGTACGATACGATCAAATCTGAAAGTATACCCAAAAATGTTTCACCCTCCATATGAGGCTCTCTTAACCAAATCAGGAACCAACCTCCCTGCCTATCATTTTTCGTGAACCCCGGTCGCACTTCTCGTCTTACCATATCTATCTCTTTGAACTGTAAACGCAAACTCTCGCCACATCGCTGCCAACTCTCCCATAGATACAAAAACATCGCCGCATCTCGGTAGGCCTCTGCCTCCCAAACCTTCTTCAAAATCTTTATCTTATTACGGATGTACTTGATGACATTTACCAAATTTTTTCACTCCAATGGTCGTGCTGATTCCTCAACCAACCCTCGACTCAATGCATATTCTCGATACGACTTCTTGAAAATCTTCACGCGGCTACTCTGACAGGGATCATCACCTTCTTCCCGTCCCATTAGTCGGAAACTCCCACTTAAGCAATTTATCACGGCATCAACCGTGGATGGCGATACCATCGACTCTCCCTCGTTATCCATCGTCCTGCATCTGCTTTCTACTCCACCAACCATTGACTACTAAGAAACGGCAAAACATCCACGTCATTACAAGTCATAAAGCTTCTACCAACTTCGTTTCTCTCAAGCCACTCATTCAACCCAAGAAGAAGCTTCCGCATTCCATTCCGCCATCGCTTCCCAGGACCAAACTCTTCCATCAATCGGCTGCTCCACTCCAAACCAGACTGGTAACTGCCAGCTATCTCAGGCGTCGCTCGCTTCTGACGCCAGCTTCCGTCACTCATCCGCTCGTTCCACCACTCCCTGCAAGATAACAAGTCACTTGTGGGATGATGGAGGGATTTGGGATGGTCTAGGAGGTATGTGGGCATGCGGCCAACTCTATGACTCTCTTCTGAGTGATCTGGCTTCATCCATGGTCTGTACAATTCTTATTTTATCTGGATCGGGCCTGGGCAGCAACCCACATAGAGGGAGTTCTGCGGTTGGCCCCAACTTCTTCGGCTCGAGGCCTCATCTTTGCAGTTACAAGACTCTCAACAACTCGAAGGCAGTTTCTTCTTTTTTTCCCCCCCTATTTTATCTATTTATTTTTTGCTACAGTTGATCATCGTCATTTATGGCCAGGCTATTTCGGATCCTACTGTTTTCTCTTCAGATACCAGAATCTATGGTGAGATCTTTTCTGCGCTGAGAATCTACGTTGCCTACAAGAGGGACCAGTGGGACTTACCCGGCGGGAAGGAGTCCCTCGGCGGCCCGTCCTCCGCTGCCTCCAGTTGCCGCGAGAGTATATATAACTGGAGTAGGACCGGTCGCAGCAGGCGGAGTCAATTCGCGCCAACCGCTGCACCCATTGCGTATGTAAACCTGCACGTCACGACAAGTCAAGACAGCCAGTCACTCGGAGGGCAGGTCGTTTTCATCGGCTATTTTGAGGGCCTGCAACCCAACTCTATGACTCTCTTCTGAGTGATCTGGCTTCATCCATGGTCTGTACAATTCTTATTTTATCTGGATCGGGCCTGGGCACAACTGAGCCTACAATTTTTTTATTTTTATTGTTTTTGGGAAGAGCCTACAAATGCGGATTCGCTGGCCGTTTATTTTTATTTTTATAACCACCAGTACCTCCGAGCTTATTTTCGACGTGGTACTGGCCAGTACCCGAACTTTTAGGAGGCCCGGCCCGACAACGGCTGCCGTTGATAAATCTGATCGGCGGCCGTCGTTTC